GTTAAAATGATTTTAACGCTGGTGGGCGTCAGATTCAATTATTTTTACACTTAGATGAATAGAGAAATAAGACAAACCGTTTCACCGGATTTAGTTAAGATTTCTTATTGAACTAAGTTATTCGAAAAATCTAAAATAAAATTTTATGCCCCTCCGTTCAAGTTTGTTCTTTCCATTACATTTTACGAGACTTAACTTACTTTATTTTAAATTAAATTATTTGATTATATGTATAAAGTTCAAAAATAAATTTTATATATTCAAAAACTAGATAAAAATTCTACATAAAAGGTGACATGACTTAATTAATTATATTATTAAATGTGTAATGAAATAATCAAACAAAGTAAATACAATATGAACGTGTGAATGGTGTATTAGAAGAACCAATTTAAGTGGAGGGAGTATTACTTTTAAATTTAAATTTTATATTGTTTTTTTAAACAAATTTTTTATTGTTTAATTGTACATCACAAATTTTTTATTGTTTAACTGTTGAACGAAAACCATTTATACTCAAGAATCATGAATTGTGGATTTGTGGATATAAAAAATATTAGTCCATGTACATACTTTAAAGTGAAAAAAATATTAGTCCATGTACATACTTATACTTTAAAGTGGATATAAAACATATGATCCTATATTGGAAAAGTCATTATGTTTTAGTCTTATTTAGGTAAATTACTCTACTTTAAAATAGAAGCAATTTATTCCATCTTATTTTTATGAATTGTGGATAAAGTATGATTCGTAGAGGTCTATTTATTACGGAGTATTTAAAAATATTAGTCCATGTACATACTTTAAATGGAAGCAATTTATTCCATATTTCCATACATGTACTATTCTTTTTATTTGATCAAGTTATTCTTTTTCCCTTTATCTCTTATATATTGCCCTAATAAAATTCTACTATAAATGATATAGAAATATTGTCTTGACATATTGATTCATATTATTTTATTCCTGTCTATTCATAAATTATTTTTCTGTTTACTGTTTATGGTGTCAAATTGTATTCATTTAGTTTGTCTATTTTTATTTTTACTCCTTATTTGATAAAATAGTATAGTCATGTCACATCTACTTAATTATATAGATATTTTGATATTATTTTTAAATACTATGTAACTTTTTTTTACACCACATTCATATAAAAAATAACTTCATTCAAATACCATAATGCGCAACAAGAAGATAATTTATGGACGGAGGATGTATTTATTTTAGTTATTATATTGGCAAATAAATAGTAATTTCCCGTTTCCATAAAAGAAACTAAATTAGAAAATGTACTCCCTCCGTCCCAAAAAGTCTTTCTTGTTTCATTTTTTGCACATCCCATAAAACACTTCTATCCTGTCTTGAATGCCAAAAAAACTTTCAAAATAACTTCTACCCACAATAAAGAAGAAATGTTGTAAATTTTAGACATTTTAGATGTCGGTAGAAGTGTTTTATTGGATGCGCAAAAAATGAAACAGGAAAGACTTTTTGAGACGGAGGGAGTATATTGTACTCGGTAAAAAGAAGTTTTTAAAAATTAAATATAAATTAACATGATAATATAAGAAAATAATTTTATGTCATTTATAATAAAATTAGACGTTATGAGTGAAAGTTCAAGACAATAGATAATTGTTTCAATTTCAAGGAGAATGAACATTCTCAAGGAGGTAAAATTTAGTAAAACTTGCAATAAATAAGACTAAAACATAAGTTATTTCCTAATGTAAGGCTTAAACTTGTTTATTTTCTAAATAAAACTTAATAATGTCTAGTAGAAGAAATAATATTCAGTGATGGAGGACATTTACTTGAATAATGACAAATGGTCATATACTAGGGAATAAAAACATATGATCCTATATTGAGAAAGTCATTATGTTTTAATCATTTGGTTGCCTAATTTTTACTCGTTATCAATTTTCTATTATTGATTTCGCATTTTGTCTGGTTCAATAATGTCAAATGATAAGCTATGGCATATAGTACAAAGCGAAAATTTTTGCCTAAAATGGAAAATTTCATAATTCATTATTTCAATAGTTGGCTTTGGAAGGAATAATTAATAAAGTGATACAAGTGGGTAGACATTAATTTGTCGAGAACACAGCCAAACTCAAAATAAAATTCTCCTCCATAATATTTTTTATTTCATTTTAAATTCATTTATTCAAATTGACTTTATGTCACTTATAAAAAGTATTGAATAGTAAAAGGTAAATACTTATATAATTTATTTTACTCCGTAGAAGATAGAAACGTACTCCCTACTCCCTTTAATTTGTTCCATATACTCCATCCGTTCCACAAAACCCTTCCGGTTTTGACTTTGGGGAAAAATAAGGAAAATGTAATTTTGGTTGAATTTCTAATTTTGCCCTGATATGATGGAAAAAAGTAAGATGTGATAGTTTGGTTATTAATGAAAAAGTATGATGTGATAGGTAGGGTATGAAAAAGTAGGGGTAAAAGTAGTTTTTTAATAGAAAGTGGAAGTGTTTTGTAGAAAGCAAAAAAACGAAAGAGGAAGAGTTTTGTGGAACGGAGGGAGTATTAGATTGCAAATCATGTAAAATGAAGAAAATCTCAAGTTTTTCAATGTATTTTATAGGGGTACGTACGGTCCGTGACGGTTTGATATTTTTAAAAAACTCGTACCATATTGTTACTATTCAAACGGTTCGGTACGGTTTCGATTTTACGCCTAAACTCATTCGGTATCATGTCGTTCGGTAACATGATGGTACCATGTTATACTAATATCAAACCATTCCATAATACCACGACGCTTTTAAAATAGTTTTATTTATAACAAACAATCGATGTAATTAAAAAAATTGGTGCACAAATAATTTATGCATTCTGAGTTTCTTACTCGACAAGTGTATTGTTTAGTTACAATTTTTGAAAAAAACTTAACCATAGTTCGCATTTTCAACAAATAAAATTATAATTTGAGTTATACTTCGAGGTAATAAAGTATTATAAAAACATAAGTTTAGGCATGTGAAGATCACACCAAATAAATATCACCTAAACTTACTAAAAATTAACAAATGAAAATGTATAATTAATTTATTAATTTAATATTTTAGTGGTAATGATTCAGTTCGGTATTTTTGGTATTTATTTTTTTGGAAACCCATCCCGTACCATTCTAAAAACGGTTTGGTTCGATTCGAAATAAAATTTACTAGAACCATTTGAAAACTCGCTTTTCGGTTTGGTACAATGTCAGTCCGGTTCAGAACAATGTCGGACCGGTATTTTTGCTCACCCATAATATTTTATATAAGGATTTGTATAAAAAAAATAAATAATTTGTATATTTAGAAACTATATCAAAAGTTATACAAAATAAAATATGATAAGAATATTTTATTTTATCAAAAAATCAATAAAAATATACAAATAAATAAAAGTTATTTAGATTTTGGAATAATAAATATTGTAATCAAATAATCAATCATGGGAGAGATCGAGGAAGTATTTTAGATCGTATATTTAAAAAAAAGAAAGAACAAAGTGGGAAAAAATTTAAAACGGATTAAAAAAAACTTTTGTGGGAGCAATGAAGTAAGTTATACCTCTCTATAGTTTCTTAGAAAAGAAAGAAGAAGAAAAAAATGAGTATCATGTCGCTCGTATTAAAAAATATGATCAATGAAAAGTTTGAGATCAAAATAAAGTTGGAAGTGATAAGCAAATTCTTATGTGTACTTAATCAAATACGTAGATTTATAAGTTAGAGGTGATAAGCAAAATATATATGATCATCAATTCCCATTGGCATCTTCACTACTTGCTTAACTATAAAAAACCATCTCAAGAATAATTTATAAGCCGTATATTTCTATCATTAAAAGAAATGAGCAAAAGTGTAAAGAAGTAGTTGGAATAAATTTTGATTTTTAGTGTTTGTTTCATGCAATGTCGATGTTATGATTTATGGAGGAAGACAACCGGGCAACCACGTAAAGCATAAAAAAACGTTAAAAGTTCCAAAATTCACATGTGAAAATAGTATAATGCTTAAAAATTAAGAATTATACTTCACATATGAAATATAGTATAATGCTTAAAAAAATTTAGAGACGGCGATAAACTTGATCTTTTCTTTTTTTTGTATATATAACTTTTTTCATTTTTTAAAAAAAAATTTTCAACTAAAATTACTATTTTATTCATAATATTTTACACATAAGTCAATACTTGACAGATAATATATCATTACAAATGTTTTTACAAGATATATTCAATGACACTAATATTGCATATATATAACTTTGACATGACGTCTTGCTTGTTTTTTTCTTCGAATGTTGAAAGGTAAATACTCCCTCACTACAAATGCTTCTTACTTCTTTTTCAAAAGGATCCAAAAAAGGACACATCTTTCTTTTTATGGAAAATTTTGAGTAGCTCACAATCTTTCTCTCCTCGCATCATTTTCAACAACACATTTTCATTTTCCTTAAAATTTATGTTAAGTCAAACTAGGAGCTTTTTTTTGGGACGGAGAGGGTATGTTGTTTTTTTCTATTTTAGTAGTAGGTCTACATATGTTTTTTTCTATCTTAGTGGGTATACAAATGTTGTTTTCTTTGTGGAAACTACAAATAAGTTAGTACTACCTCCGTCCCAATTTATAACGCTTGTTTCGGTTTACGATGCTTGACTGAAATTATTTTTTCAAACCATTTTATATGACAAATGGTATAGAATTAAAAAATAAAAATTATATATTAAAAAACTACATCAAAAGATCTACAAAACTAGTAGTGATAATAATATTTTATTTTATCAAATTGCTAACGAAAATAGAGAAAGAAAGTGAATAAAATTTGACCCTGTGAATAGTAAACATGCATTATAATTTGGGACGGAGGGAGTACTTTTTTACACTTTTTTTGCCGGTGAGCATTGCACAATTAACAAGAGAGTAATATCCGAGTTTGATTCTTGACAAATTACCCTAAGAGACAACTATGCTAAGGGTAACCGATTTATGATTAAAGCCCAATTAACATCTTTTCACGTCGGCGAGTTCTGAGAGACTCTCGAGGATGGAGTTCGTCCTTTTTTACAAATAAGTTAGTAAAGACACTGACAGATGTAGAATAGAAGTTCCAAGAGTTAGATAGCCAATAATGCGCTCATTAGTATGTGCAAATGCACAAAATGGGAAGTATAATTTCGTGGCAAAACTGAGGTAATTACCAATTTACCATGAAAGATAAATTTGATCACTTGCTGAGACTCTGAGAGAAAGAGATCCAAATGTGATAATGCCTATGCATACAGGCAATTGTGGCCTGCATTGGTTAGAGAATCTCATAAGAATCTTACCGAGTAATTTACATACTTTCTTGTGCTGATATCCATAAAAATACCCTAGATCTTGTGTGTGTATTGTAGTAGTTTGATTATAATATGAACTTCATAAACAGATAATAATATCTAAAGCGGTTTTGAATATGGCACGCGAAGTATACAGATAAAACCTTGATAACTGATAGTATTTATTTCTGGACCAGTCATTTCCACTCCATCATCGTCTAGTAACGAAATGCCAGATGAAGTTATGTCGAACGGAAACGCAATTGGTGGAGATATCGAAGATTTGGCTACTTTCATAATCCTTTGACCTGCAAAAGACAAGGTTACAGTTCCATCTACTTCATTCATTGATCTAGATATACATCAGTAAGGATGAATTTACAAAAATTCTTACAGGGCTTTGCACTTGTTTCACAAAATATGAGACTTTTGTGATGTTTATAACATAATAGCAGTTTCACCTCATGAGAAGTTAGGCAAAAGAAGTAACCTGATCGAGATTCGAATACAAGGCGAATTGTAACAGCATGAGCCCAATGGATACCAAGAGCAGCAACTAAATGGTGATCAAATTTGGAGGGATCTTCAGGGTTTTCAGTTCTCTTCCGAGCTGCAAAGGATAAATGCTATGAAATTAATGAGAGTTGATTAGTTGGAAGAATTAAGTTTTAAAATTTTCAAAAATCCAACTTCATTCCATGTTTCATCTGCCAGACTGCCACAATACCTTGGAAAAGATACTGAGAAGTTTCTTCACAATTTTGAGATCTCACTTGGTTGGTGACTACTACAGGAATTCGTGAACACTCGGCAAGTGATCTGAGGAGTAATGATAAATATATAAATATGGACAACTGAGATTCGGAAAACAGAAAATAAATTTGTTAAAACCCAATATAGAGACAATTCTCACTTAAGAAATGATATGTGCCAACCCAGTGAATGTTGTCTATGAGGCCCGTGCAGGTTTTCCCTGAACCAATTTGTAATGCGTGCATAAACATGTTAGTCTGGTGGGGAGGGGATGGGAAAAGTATGCCTCCTGAAGGGCAGAAGCAGTATGAATCATCACGTTAGGTATTTCTCCGTATAAAAAATGAATCCAGATTGCCCACATGATAAAAATGTAAGAAGTAGACAAGAAAAAGTTTCAGAGGTTACGGAATAAAAGAGTAAATTCCATATCAACATGGTGTTATAGTCTAGGATTTGCTTACAGCAAAATGTGGCTGCAAGACATGGTTAACTTAAGTTTTTGACATCCCGGGCTGCCAGTAGACAACTTATGAGGGAGGGGAGGGGGGGGGGGGGAGAGGGAAGAAAATGGAATTACCCTGTAAGGAGCGCTGCCAAGCTATCAACAATTAGCAACTTTACATTATGTTGGAACAGAGATTCTCTAATCTGCTGTAATCTGGTAGTATGAAAAAATAGTGAGCAGACAAATCACGAGATCATGCAAATTTCTTGGGCAGGTGATCCTATCGCAAAGAGAAGAAATGAAATGAAAGCGAAGGGAGGGGAAACAAAAACACGTTGTAAATAGTTTCAATTTTTTGCTTCAGAATATAGCTATGTAAATCAACATCCCTGGATGCACTGAGAGTTCACTTTCCTTCGAGCTAAGTATCTCATTAATTACAAGTCATGAAGCAGATATGTCAAAATAGCTTCAAACCTCTCTGTAAAGTCAGAAAGTGACGTTGGCCTGAGAACTATGATCCGCCCTGCCATCTGCAAGATAAGCCAGAGCTTCCTTATATCTTGAAATATAAAGTATTGCACTACTTCATTAAAGACAGGTCAAGGGGTCACTCTCTGGATGAAGGCATCAGTTTCAATACAGGCTTTTGTGCATTTGTAGCAAGTAAACAAACAAACAAGCAAGCAAACAAGATCAGACTATTGTCTACTGTATATGATCTAGCCAAATCAACAATTTATCATTGCCCAATTATAATAACATTCAAAAAGAAGGTTGATCTACTTATCCTCTGAAATGTAAAGAATGTGACATAATATATACAGAAAAATAAACAACGTACCAGTTGCACCATCTCTTCCTTGCGAAATACTTCTGGGAAGCTATTCACTCCAATTTCTATCATCCTGAAACCAAGCAATGGGTTAAAAAACACTGGGAGATAGACTATATATTTATATGCCACAATGTAGGATCTATTAATACAAATATCCATTGAAGAACCTTTTAGAGCTGAATTTAGACTCAGTATCAATGAACAACACGTGGCCATCTAACCCTCCATAAGAAGAAGGAAGTGCAGCAAGTAGTGAGAGCTTGAGGCAGAACTAGGCATCAGAGAGTAATAAGAAATATGAGCTTCACATAACAGTTTTATGTTGGACCCATCACGCTCTGACCTAGAGAGAAATAACCAAAGGGATGGAGCAACAAAATAATGTGAAGGCTTATAGCTTATTCTATCATGTGAAATCTTGTGCTAGCAATCAGCATAGTTTTGAAATCCAGTAGTAAGAGACGCAAGAACAATATAAACACATAACCTTTCATGATACTTATACACTGAGCCATTAGCCAAAACATAAAGCTATCTTGATGGTTCTCTAGCTCCTAGTGCTACTACTTGGTCGGACCAATTGTGAACGTCCCCCTTAAAGCAGTAGTACGGGGGCCCAAATCTACTGAAAACCTTGGGAGTGGGGTTAATAGAAAAATAAGGAGTACTAAATAGAGGCATGATCAGCTATCAATCAAAAGCTGACCAATAAGTATGGGAAGACTACTCGTGGGGAAAAGCGTACACATGATACGGTACCAATGAGATTCATACTTAACTCCTCTAGGTCTCCTGGGGAAGGATCTTCGGGTCTTAGTATGCGCATCGAAGTAAGGAAACCTAATCAATCAAACAAAACACTCATTAAAACTATCTTGCCTGGGTTTTGCCAATCCCAGCAGGACCAACAACTTCAGTAACAACACCAAATGGAATTCCACCACACAATGTAGCATCTAGTCCTCTCAAACGAGTTGGAAGGTGGCCTGCAAAGCTCTCCCTCTTGACACGCATTTCCAGCAGAGATAAAGCCTGCACAATTGGGAAACCACAAATCCACTCATTACCAATCTCCCCGTTAGCCTGCAATCAAAACGCTCACATACAAGAAAAAACAAGGGCTTACAGTTTGGAATGGAGGACAAGCGATTTCACTTATGTGTGTAACTGCAGAAATTACCTCGGAGAAATTCAAATCCAGCAGTTCCATCAACTCAAATTCAGTTAGAGAAAGAGCATCCTGGTAAAAAAAATGCAGATCAAACTACAAACAATAAGAATATAAGATGCAGATCATCAAATCACAGTAGAGAATAACGAGCGAATAAGTTTGGGAAATAGAAATCGAGATGGGAGACGAACCTTGGCTGTGAGGATATTACGAGCGACAAAGATGTTGGATATCGACTTGGGAAGACCCATTTGGTTGATGAGCTTGTTCGCCATCTCTCTCTCTCTCTCTCTCTCTCTGGCAAGAGACAGACACGAAGATGGAGGAGAACTCACTGGAGGAGAAGACTGCAAGTTGGGTTTCCCGCGGTCTGAACTTTTTTGGGTCATATCTATCGGTCCAAGCACTACCTTTTTAGCATCACGAATTGGGCCATAGACCCAACCTCGGTCATGCGGTAATTATCTCATTTTTTGGTGCGTTTCAAGAGTTTTTTTAGAGATTAAACTCTTGATTTTTAATTTCTTTTAGTTAGTGTTTGACAACTATCATATTATTTCAATTCATGCATTTTAATTTCAAAACTTAAAATCTTGAATTTCAAATGACAATGAGAGGTGCATGAATTTTAAATTAAGTTTTGTTATGAATGAGAAGAATTTGACTCAAATCCAAATTCAAAATTTTTAAGTTTCCCAAACATGAAATTTGAGTAAAATCCGGATTTAAAATCCAAATCCATATTCTCAAACATACCATTAATTCTTTCAAGTTTCTTTAGTTCTTTTTAATTTCTTTCAATTGTTCATGTTCTTTTTAATTTTTTCAGTTTTTTCAATTATTCTCATTTTCTTCAAACTCTTTCTACTCACCAAACAATTACTCTAACAATAATGTATTTTTAATGTCATTATTATTATTGTCATTATAATTATTATTATAATTATTATTATCATAATAATAATAATAATTATCTTCATTATTACGAAGTATTATTATTACAACTATTATTTTCATAACTATAGTTTATAAACTATTTCATTATTTTATTTTTTCCATGTTACTAGTTTGCCTTCCCCGTTAACCTCTCAGCACGTTGATCACTCTGTGTGGCTACCCAACACACTTTGGATGCTCTACACAATCCTTTGTGGTCGCTCAACAGGGTTTAAAAAGAATCAAGCTCATGATTTGTAAAAAAAATATATGAAAAGAACAAAAAGGGGTGCAACACGAGGACTTCTCAGGGGGTCATCCATTCTAGTACTACACTCGCCCAAGCACGCTTAGATTCTGAGTTCTGATGGGATCTGGTGCATTAGTGCTGGTATGATCGGTCATGTGTTGCGCGTAAGATATTTTTATTTCTAATCTGTCGGTATTGCTTATAGTTTAAGCAACAAAGTTTTATCCGCCGGTATTGATTTTATTGACATTTAAGTAAAAGAACAAAATTTTTAAAAACAATAAAATTAGGATTCTATTGTTTAGTAGCACAAAAATAAATGCAATTAGAATTGAATTCTAAATTTAAAAGATAAAAAATTAAAAATTAAAGATTAAAAATAAAAACAATTACAATGAAAATTTACAAATTGATACTTGAAATTTTTAATCTGAAATTTTAATTTTTCCCACGCTCTTCTTAATTGATATAAGAAAAACATTTTTCAAATTTTTATAAAAAAGTTTAAAAGTCAAAATATTTTAAATAAAAATACTAAACTATGAGTAAAACATAAAAATGTACCAAATGTGAGTTATATATTTTTTATTCCCAAAATAAGAGTTACAATGCAAATACAAAGTACGTCAATCGTCAAAAAAATATATTTGATCACACTATGTGAAAGGTTTGATATTTAAAATGAAATCGTGTAATATATAGAGTATAACTACAAATATAGTTTTTAATAATAAATATTGCATAAATAAATTGAGATGGAACTAACCACAATAACTTTTTAAAATTTAAGATTTTACGGATCGGAGTAATATTTATGCCAACTTTATATTCTAATTATATTTTTTATGAAAGTAGATTTTTGTGTATGAAAAATGACAATACTTTTTTAGCTTAAAGACATTGATTAATATAACGTGATTATAAATATAATAATAATACTTAGGGGAAAGTACCGTCTTAGCACCAGTATATGCTTAAAATACTCATATAGCACTGCTAGGGATATTGGAACTCTTGTGGATGCAATTCCTAATTTGTCTTTAATTGCATTCCACACTGCAAAAAATGTGTTTAAGTTGGCATATATACTTTCAGAACATGGGCATAACACACTGTTGTCATACCCAATATAACATGTATCCACACTGCCAAAGCATGATCATTCCACACTGCCAAAAAAATATGTTAAGCTAGTATACACTTCCAGAATATGTATATAACACGCTGCGAGAAAGTGTATTTAAGTATTGTAACACCCCGACCCACCCTGGCTGTAAAGTGCCCGCTCATAGGATTATAGACTGGCCCTACAAATCAACACAACCCCATCCTAAAATTGTTCCTGGTCAAGCATGCTTAACTTTGGAGTTTCTAGGTGATGAGCTATCAAAAAGAAGATGAATCTTGTTGGTATGAATAGTACTATCAATCTTTATAAGCTCTTCTTATTCCCATCTTAATACGGGGTATTACAAGTATTGTGAACCAAAACATAATGCCCAAAATATGGGCATAATACACTACCAGAAAGTATAGGCATAACATGACCATTGCACACTGTCAAAAAAGTTAGTATTCACTTCTAATTTCATTTATTAAATGTGTTTAAGCAGTGAGGAGTGATACGTCGGTTCTAAGTGCATGCTACGTACAAGGAATGAGAATAATCTCATAAAATTATGGATCTCAATAAATATAGTAGATGAAATAATTAAAATATTGCATTATAATAAAATGGTATGATTGGAAGAGTTTCACGTCACAAATAGTCAAATGTGTGAAAAACAATAAGGAGTTGTATATGTGTAATACTTGTTGACTTTTATTTTGTTTAAATTACTAGAATGTTTGACGATGTTGTTTTAAAGGCTTCCGCAACGTTTAAATTATTTACTCCGATTAATTATGAATTGTTTTTAAATAAATGTGAATTGATATTTTATTATTAAATATTTAAAATATTATGCATGTGAATACCAAATTAGTGACAACCCGATTTGCTAACTTGTTGTTTCGGGTAACGCAGGTTGGGGTGTTACATACCGTGTCGGGTGTGAGGAGGCAAAAATAACTCGCAGCGGCAACAGTTATAAGATTACGGCTTTTTTGGAAAGAGCGTTTTCAATTAGCTTTGGCGTTTTAGATAAAATTTTAACGGTGTCGATTAACTCTGAAAACGCTAACGCTAAAGGCTACTGAGAGAGCTTTTTCAAAACGCTAACCTCTAACGCTGATGCCAAACGGGACTTACATACGACACGGCGCTCCTATGTGAGAGCGAGACATGGAAGTGGAGGATTGGAGGGGGAGAGAGAGGACATGACAACGAGGATGAGAATTAATTACATATACACATCTCCATATTCATTTACAAATTCAAACCTAATTTTTCTTTAATTTATAAGGAAAAGACTAATATAGAAGAAAAGTGTTAGGATTCAATACTAAAACATAATGACTTTTCCTATATAGCATCATACTCCATCCGTCCACAAATAAACTTTCTGTTGTGCGTTACGATGTTTGACTGAAGTTATTTTCAAATCATTTTATATGAAAAATGGTGTGAAATTTAAAAATAAAAATTACATATTAAAAACTATATCTAAAGATCTACAGAACTATACATGACATGATTATATTATTTTATCAAATGAGTGACGAAAATAGACCATCAAAGTGAATAAAGTTTGACCCTGTGAATAATGAACGAGAAGTTTATTTGTGGACGGAAGGAGTATGTTGTTTTTTCCCAATGTAAAACTTTTATTCATTATTAATTAGTCATTATTCAAGTAAATGTTCGTCATCACTGGACATTATTCATCCTTCTAGACATTATTAAGTGTTATTTAGAGAATAAAAAAATTTAAGTGCTATTTAGAGAGATGACTTAAATTTTAGTGCTATTTAGTGCAAATATTTCTTTATTTTTATGATTGGAATTTTTTTGAACTGTTTTAGACACGTGATGATTTGTTCGAAGTATGATCTATATTCTATATCGCCTTGGTTCCCATGACATTGAGAACCATGACATTGGGTACCAATGTCATGGGATGACCCGGGAGTGCTCCGGTGCCCCGTTCGTTGTTGATCTTGTTTTTGAAAAGTATCTCATTAAAGATAATAATGGTATAATTAATTGAAGCAAAAAATTGTTGAATCGAGTTATTCGAGTCTAAGGGGCTGTTTGTTTCAGCCTCTTAATGGTTCAGATGTCTGAATGGTTCAGATGTCTGAATGGTTCAGTACTTAATGGTTCAGACTGTTTGTTTTAACCTCTTAATGGTTCAGATGTCTGAATGGTTAAGAGATTTGCTTCTGAATGGTTAAGTATTATACAGAGTTTGAATGGCTAAGATCTCTTATCTGAATTGATCAGACATTTGTCTCTGAATAGTTAAGCAATATACTAGCTCTTAATGGTTAAGACCTCTTACTGGTTCAGACCTCTTACTGGTTCAGCACTTACCTATTCAGAAGTTGTCAAATAGGCACCTAAGCAACTTAATTTATTCCCTCTCTACGTAAAGTGTGTGAACAAGAAAAGTCAAAGTGAACGCTTACAGAAAAGTCATTTTGATGCATGTGATTATATCACGATCCGAACATATCTCACTCCAATAAGCTAAGCTCTCTCTCCATCACTCACTTCCATATATGCATGCATGCATTCCTAATTAGCTAGCTACCCTCTACACGTACGTACGCCATAGCTAATTACCTTCCGGCCGGATTATAATGTTTCCATCTTCAACATCAAACAATATTTTGACTTCATCAACATCCAAATGACCACCTCCTCCTCCTCCGCCTCTCGACCTCCCGGCCGCCTCCGCAAATCCGTCACGTGCCTCTTCGTCGCTCTCCTCCTCGTCTACGTATTCTACTCCGCCAAAGTCATCCTCGTCAAGGACTACTCCTCGTCCTCTTCCTCATCGTCGTCCCCTCGGTCTGACTGTGTTATCAGGGACGACGACGAGGACGACCCGCACATTCGCCTCTCTGTTGTAGTCCCATCTGCGCCTCCTCCTCCTCCACCACCTCCCTTTCCCCCGCCTCCCCCGCAGCGTCCCTCCTTTTGGGACGACACGGAGCTTAGGCACGTCGTGTTCGGGATTGCAGCGTCGTCGAGCCTGTGGGAGAGGCGGAAGGAGTACATAAAGACGTGGTGGAGGCCCGAGGAGACGCGGGGGGCGGTCTGGCTCGACAAGAAGGTGGAGGTGGGGAGGAACGAGGCGCTGCCGGAGATCAAGGTCTCCGGTGACACCTCGAGGTTCAACTACACGAACCGGCAGGGCGACAGGTCCGCCCTGCGGATATCAAGGGTGGTGTCGGAGACGCTGAGGCTGGGGATAGAGGACGTGCGGTGGCTGGTGATGGGGGATGACGACACGGTGTTCTTCGTGGACAATGTGGTGAGGGTGCTCAACAAGTATGACCACAACCAGTTTTACTATATCGGCAGCTCTTCGGAGAGCCACGTCCAGAACATATTCTTCTCCTACTCCATGGCCTACGGGGGCGGAGGGTTTGCCATCAGTTACCCGTTGGCCACGGAGCTGGAGAAAATGCAGGACCGGTGCATTTCCCGGTACCCCGGGTTGTATGGGAGTGATGATCGGATTCATGCTTGCATGGCGGAGCTAGGTGTTCCCCTTACCCGTGAGCCAGGATTTCACCAGGTATATTTATTTATTTATGCTGCTTCTCTTTCCTTCTTAATTATCCTATTTGTCTAGTTTTAATTTTTTTCGGTCAACTATTTTCAAATAAAATACACATTGTATATTAATTAGATAAAATAATATTTTGAAGATAATTGATATAATAAATCTAATAAAATTATTTTTGTATCAATATCTAATACGGAGTATCATTTTTATTTAATTTGAGGTCAAAGTTTACCAATTTTGACTGAAAAAGTCAAAAATAAACAAATACTCGGGGATGGATGAAGTACTGTGCATTGTTTAATTTAAGTGAAATTTGCATAAATAGTACTGAAACATATGTCATTTCCCAATGTAGTACTTAATTAAACTTTTAAATTTTATTTCTTAAATAATACAGTACTTGAATAATGTCTAATAACAGAAACAATGTCTTGTGATGTTGGACATTTAGTTTGAACAATGTCCAATGACGGTAGACATTTACTTGAACAATGATCAATGGACAATTGCCAGTGGGAAATAAAAACACATGATATTACATTAAGAAAATCACTATGTTTTAGTACTATTTAAATAAACTTTTCTTAATTTAATTGTTTGACAACATGGGGGTGGTTTTTAAGAGTAATTAAATACCTCTTAAAAACTCTTCCTATTTGTTTTTTTAGTCAAAATAATAATGCTAAATATTATAAAAAATTGATATAATATTGTGTAATATATGGAGCAATAATATTGTGTAATATTTTTTCTATGGGTGGTGATAGTCACACCCCACCAAAACACAAAATTCACTCAAGATACTAATTTCACCTCGCTACTTTCTAAACTATTTTTATTCTTGTGCTTCACATTGATTGTTATATATTGTAATTTTTTTACTCTGTAACATATTGATAAATTTATATTATGAATTATAATATTTATTTTTTATAAAATATTCTAATAAATATTACTCTGCATTAGTTTTAAAATAAAAGTTGTAATGTTAATAATGATGTGCATTTATTAAATTTTAAATAATTTTTTTGAAAAGCAATAAAAAAATGATGTTTAGTTTTAATTTTTCTATAAAGCTTTACATATCCTTAAAAAATATAATAAAACTTACATAATATTCTTTTTAAAATAATAATGTATATTAAAAAATTAGAATAGGGAAATACATGTTGGTATAATACTTAGAAATGGAAATTTTTTACAAAATTATTGGTCATCAAATTTAAGAATAATGAAATTTCTTTTATTTTTAATCAATTAATAATTAAAATATCATATTAAAAATATTTTAAAGTTATATTTAAAAAATCATATAGTTTTTTAGAAAAGCAACAAAATAAATTAAGTAGTTGATAATTCTAAAAATATATTTATAATGTTGGTTTTAATTTTAAAAAGTCTATATGATTTTTTAAAATAATAACAGAATTATACATAATGGGGTGTATTTAGTTGATGTGGTGTATTTAGTGTTTTAGCGGATGTGGCTATCGCTACCCTTTTTCTAATATAGAGTTAGTACTACAAGCAAACAAAATGAAATTCGATTTATGTATATGTATTTTTATACTAGATATGTTTTGTTATTAGTTCGTTCAAAAAAAGACTCCTAGACATGTTAAAATATTTTTAATAAATTTTCATCGATCATTTGATAAAAATAAAATAACTTTTTACATGTTTTGTAGAGTGTTTGATAAAGTTTTTTAATATATAGTTTTTTATTTTTTAATTTTACACCAATTTTACTTTCATTGATTTGAAAATAACTTGAACTAAATATCGTAAACCAAACAGAATCCTTAGTTTGAAAGGGGGAAGCATGATTATATTTTTATGTATGGATTTAAGAAAAAAAATATAACATGGAGTACTCCTTATAAAGTAAGATAAATATATACGCACATATTACCTCCATTTGTATTTATCTGTCCATTATAGAAATTTATTTGTTCACAAATAGCCAACCATTACAAAATCTAATATAATAAAGTGTAATAAAATGACTGCTTATCTCTTTGTATTTAAATATTACTATCCCTTGAAAATTACAAACGGAGTACTAAATGTAAGCTCTTGGGACGAATTAAAAAAAATTAAACATATTATGTGAATGATTAGTGGCTAGTGCACCACCTTGATTGGTTAGAATAAGGATTAAGCTATGTCTACCCCAACATTTATACCCCAATTTGTACCCCGCAGGTTTGCACCAACATTTTGTGTTGGTGTAAAACTATTTTTTATTAACGCACCAACACTTTGTGTCCGTATAAATTTTTGTTAACGCACCAACACTTGTGTCGGTGTAAACCATCAAAATGTTTGTGCATAACTATGGTGTACAAATGAGGTATATATTTTGGTGTAAGTGTAGCATGGTCCTTAGAATAATGCAAAAAAAAGAAGAGATCGGCTAATATTGAAAGTGGTGTGTCTTATTGTATTTAAGGTAATTTATCTAAATAGGACTAAAATATAATGACTTTCTTAATATAGCATTATTTGTTTTTATTTCTCAATGTAGAACTATTGGTCATTATCTATTAGTCATTATTCAACTAAATTTCTAGCATTTGGACTTTCTTCTTCTCACTAGTCATTATTAAGTCCTATTTAAGGAATAAAAAAAATTTAGTTCTACATTAGAAAATGACTTATGTTTTAGTCCTATTCGTTTTTATTTCTCAATGTAGGACTATTGGTCATTATCTATTAGTCATTATTCAACTAAATGTCCAACATCACTTGGACATTCTTCTTCTCAATAGTCATTATTAAGTTCTATTTAATGAATAAAAAAAATTTAGTCCTACATTGGAAAATGACTTATATTTTAGTCTTATTCAGTGCAAATTTTACTTGTATTCTATTTATTGTATCCTTACATTTCTTTACTAAAATACCGTCTAAAAGAAGTGGAATATTATATTAGTTCCACTCTAAAAAATTAATGCATACTTAATAAATGTGAGTTAACCTTAAAGGTAGGAATGACAATCAAATCCAAACCCGATCTTAACTGACTCGACCGAACACAAAAATATCCGAATCCAAATCGAGAATAAAACAATCCGAACCTGACCCAATTTTTTTTTATCCGTACCGATATCGGGTCGGGTCGGGTGTGGGTTTATAATTTTACCCGACCCGACTTGAACCTGACCCAAATCCTAATACTTTATAACCTAAAAACTTATCTACATATTTAATAAGCACTCCGTATAATCTATTTTTTTGATTTTGTGGCGCTACCGCATCTCTCTCTTGGCTCGTACATTTCATCTTTGTGTGCTTTCCATTCTCCTTAGCTTGTATGGTTCTTCCTTTCTTGCATCTCTTCCTTCATCACATCTCTAGTCTGTCTATTATCTTGTTCGCATTTCTAGCCACGTAATCGTCTTGACAAGGTACTACTACACCAAGTATCCATTTTATAATTCTTTTTATAATTCCTCAATCAAAAAATGAGACACCAAACAAATGAGACAAAGGAATTTAGATTTATTCTTTTTAAAGTTCTTGGAGTACATCGAATTGATTATTGGTTAAATTACACATTCGAGTTCACGTTAGGGTTTCGGCTTAAATGTCGGGTTTAGGCCGGGTCAGATTTTTGGTTTAAAAGTTGGGTTTCAATTTGGATTTCGGGTTTAAAAGTCAGGTTGGCTTTGGGTATAATACTATCCGACTTAAACCGACCCATTGTCATCCCTACTTAAAGAACAGATAAATAAGAATGCAGGGAATACATTTGTACTCTTAAAACTAGTCTAATTGATCCGGTTTGTTTCCCAACTCGCATTTAAAGTAAAAGGATAAAAAGGACTACCAGCTCCACGCCGGCCCAGATTGATTCATAGTATGTTCTCTTCAATTTATTACTTATAAATTATTTTTATTAGAATCAAATCAGATCAGAAATATATTTTAATATAATTACGATCAGATCTGATATGCAGATCAGCAAATTAGATTGGACCTTGATAAAATAATATCATATCTAAGCACTTGGGCTAGTTCTTCCCATCAATTGAATGGCCAAATGAGACTCCGAACATGATTGGTCTAAGGACCACTTTGTTGGCCATGTGTGCAGCAATTGTCTCGTGGCGGAGGCTATGTGGGCCAAGTCACAATCGAATGTCATGGGCGCTTGTGTGCTGGATGCACTATAAGGCTAGGGTATGCGCCTTTTCTAACACCAATTGGTTTTAGAAGAGATGATAGCGCCTGAGGTCCTACACACTTCAGCGTCAATTTTCTCATGTCCGACATCGATTGATTTTTTTATTTACTAATTTGATCCCTTTTTCTCATAATTAGATTGTGTTGATATTACTAAATTTCTTTATGATAACTGAAAAAAAATACTTTGTGTGGAATATGGTAATACAGTAAGGTTTCAAGGCCAAAACTAGAAACTTTAAACAATTTGAATTGTAGCTCTATATGTATCTCACATATTGATTATGATCATGATGAATCTTATAATGTGAATTTTGTATGCACACAGTATGACGTGTATGGGAATTTACTAGGACTACTAGGAGCACACCCTGTGGCACCACTAGTATCAATCCATCACCTTGACGTAGTGGCACCAATCTTTCCAAAAATGACTCGAGTGGAGAGCCTGAAACACCTATTCGAGTCGGTGAAACTCGACTCCGCAAGCATAATGCAACAATCCATCTGTTACGACAAAGAAAGGTATTGGTCCATATCGGTGTCTTGGGGCTACGCCATTCAAGTCATCAGAGGCATGGTTTCTCCTCGGGAGTTGGAGATGCCGACTCGGACCTTCTTGAACTGGTACAGAAGAGCGGATTACACGGCATACGCCTTCAACACTCGACCTGTCACTAGGCACCCTTGCCAGAAGCCATTTGTTTATTATGTCACCAAAGTGAGGCTGGACAGAAGCAGGAATGATATTATTGGGATATATTATCGTCACAGAGAGACACACCCTTATTGTAGGTGGAAAGGCGAGTCTCCCCAAAATATAGACTCTATTGTTGTCTTGAAACAGCCTGATAGTACCAGGTGGGAAAAGGTACGCGGTTAACATTAATTAAAATTTTCTTCAATATATTTAGCATTTAGTTTGCTATTTTATGAAATTTCAATGGAAGTCCATTTAAAATGAGAGCATTGCCAGGTTTTAGTCATCTTTCCATTGAAGACCTTGAAATGATAGAGGAATAAAGAACAAAAGGCAACAATGTTTCAAATTCTTAAGGGCATTAGTAGATTTTTAATTAATGATATGGTCATATGGAGGACTAACACTGAAAATTGTTCATCCATAGAATTTCATTTGTAAAATTTATCTTTCACCATATTTCACTTTTAGGTGGTATTTTCATTTCTCGCCCATATTGTTTTTGGTTCACTAATTTAGATTTTTTCTACTACCAAAAGAGTGAAAACATGTAAAAGAGAATGAGCTAGCTAGTACTTAACTCTTTCAAAATAATTAGAAATGTGTGATTTTTTTTCAAACTTGGACTACAATCTGCATTAAATATACATTATAATAAGAAATGTAATTCTACGATATTTCTTCCGTTTCAACATAATTAAAAATGATATATACTTCTTTTTTTTGCAACAAAATTGTAGTGTCGCAGACAGTAATATTCAAACATTGCAGTTTATTATGAAACAGATGAAGTATTGTATATATGAATTTCAATTTAGGAAAAAATAAAAAGGACAAATATCTATATGTCTTTTTTCATTTTGTGTGATGTGGTGTGTTAGCTAAGTGCATTGTGTTTTTATCCATGTAGTCGCGAAGGAGAGATTGTTGTAAAGTCTTACCGTCGAGACAAAATGCAAGAAATCTCTACTTATGGGTGGGGAGTTGCAAACAAGGTGAAGTGAGTGAGTTCTAGAGCACATAGAAGTTAAAAGCTCAATAGCAACCTTGCATATTACATATGCATCATGATCAATTCAAAAGAGACAGTGATAAAAAAACATCAATAGTGCAAGCTCTTACATGAAAGAATATGAATCAGATGCAATGAACTTGACATCAAGAAATGTTCGTGAAACTACTAAATGTCACCCAAATTACATTAATTTTTACTGATGCAAATACAGGCGATGCAATTGCTCTAGCTTAATCACATTGATTGTCAAAATTTGATGTATTATTTCTTGTTTTGCATATGTTTGATGCATACATGTCCTCTTGAATTTTCATTCTTGTGTGGAAATATGTTATAGGAATTGATTTTTATCAGCTAAACAATGATGCTATTTGAAGTTAGTAGCTGGTTGTTAGCTATTTGTTCTGACTGGTTTGAACAGAAGATTGAGGTGGATGTTTGTTTGATTCATTATGTTTATTGTTATTGAGAAAATATTTGGCAACTTTAGGTACCCATAATTAAGTACTTGTAGTTGTTTATAGATAAAATTGCATTTAATTAAGAACATGTCGTATGCGAGCATACAAATTAGTGTTTGGTTGTCTTCAAATTTATTTTTTGGTTTAAGAAGAAACACACAAAATTTGCAAATGAGCAATCATCATACCATAAATTAAACTGGACGATAATGAAGCTTTTATATAGTATTGCGACTATGCACCCAAAATAGCCAAAGAACAACAGGCAAACACAATTTTTGGTTAACTTAAAATTTAAAACAAAATTCTTGCCTTTATTGATGACATCTACCGACTCTCAAATGTAATTAATAGTAATATTATTATAAATGTTTTTCACTTCATGACTTTTTATCTTAGTTCTAGTGTTTATAATATAATACGATCTTAACATCTTTAAAGACGCCATAACAAATCTAAATGTTAGGCCACTAATTGTGCAGTAATGGGCATCTTCTTTTAAGTATCTCTCATAGCCATCAGTGTGGTATGTGTGGGGCTCGAACACTATATGTAGAAAAGCTTGGGTTGGGTTTCTTGCCTCTACACCAATCCGATTCCACATTAATGAATATCTTAGCATTTTCTCTATCATTTGTCGAGTCCTAAATAAAAACATCAAAAGATCTCTCAATACAAGTTATTGATGATGAATGTGAACTATTAAAGATCTCCTCAGATCCTCTTGGATTTTCACAACGACAACTCTATCGGAAGGTACTTTATTTTTAGATACGAAGTTAAATATCCATTCCTCTTGGCATATTCTTTGTCGACAAAATAATAATTACCAAAATTACATATGACTCACAAGTGTTGAATCAATATTTGAATTATATTTCGCTTTGAAATAAAAATGTTTGTATAGAAAGATTCAAAAGTTATGTGTTAACATCTCCCGACAGGTTGAAATATAATGCATGTGACTATGTAAGTAACATATCAAATTAAAACCATGCATCACTAATACATTTATAGCGTGTATTCCGTTCATTCCCCTATTACACATTACCCATCCTTAGAATTAACTATTGCAATATGAGTACCATGGATAACTTCTTTTCAATCATAGTGGCATACATCAAATTAAAAAGAAATTACATTTCTTGACCAATACGGAGTAGTTTAAAAAATGTCATTTATTTACTATGTATTTTTCATTGATAGAGTTTTGGATGAGGTAGGGAAACTGGATTGGGTAATAAGACACTTAGGTTGAACCACATCAAAAGATCGAATCCAACCAGTTACTTAGTTCAACTCAAGAACTTATGTACCAATTATTTTTCTACCAACTTCAAATGTGGGATAGACTCTAACACTCTCCCTCAAGTGGATAACTGGTTCATTTTGAAGCTAACCGGTTGACCGCTTGCAAATGATTCTCATCTTTTGAGCGCCAACATCTAAAGGACCACAACCCGCTGGGTATGAACTTTGAGGCGAACAATCGGGTTAGATGGGCCACAGACCGGTGGGTACATACTCCATACGGACAACTGAGCTAAAGATAAATGGGCCGTTAGGAATAAATGCCTAGACGCACACCTTGACAAATGAGGTGGGCCAAAACCTGATCTGATACCATGACAGAATCTAGGATGGGGTAAAGATAACTGGATTGGTTAATAGGACACCGACTACTTAGTTCAACTCACAAACTTATATATAAATTACTTTTCTATCCAACTTCTGATGTGGGATAGACTCTAACAGTCATCATTAGAAATTTGTGGTGGAATAGCCTTTAGGTGTTATTAGATTTCTTGGAAATATATATAGGCATTGCTTTCAAACTTCTTTAAAAGTTCAAGATATTAACGGTTTTGCTGGAATGTCAAAAATGCTCTTGTATCTCTATTAGAAGTATGTTTATTTAATACAAATACAAATGAATCGACTTTTGTAAAAAAGGGCATCTTATATGACAATCTTAAACGATATTTGTGTTCCAATTTATTAAAATTCTGGCGGGCCGATTACAACGGATATAGTGTCAGGTAAAATTAACCACTTGCATATAAAGTCGGGATCCACAATTCTAACCCAAAAGCTTAAGCTGATAGGTAGGGCTTCACCCTTCAATATATGCAAGTGATACTCATCTTTATTTTCCGATGTGGGAACTCCAACACTCCCCCGCAAGTGGTAACTAGCCTGGTCTAGTTAGCACTTGAACAAACGGGTCTAGCATCTCAATCTCTTATAGCTAGCCCACACAACGGGCGGTGGCATCTCAATCTCTTTTTAGCCAACTCAGCCCAAACCACAGATGGGTAGCTCATTTTTGCTAAACCCACATCCAAACAACCAGGAACAATCAAACCCGGACCGGACCTGCTCTGATACCATATTAAAATTCTGGCGGGCCGATAACAACGGATAGAGTGTCAGGTAAAATTAACCACTTGCATATACAGTCGGGATCCACAATTCTAACCCAAAAGCTTAAGCTGATAGGTAGGGCTTCACCCTTTAATATATGCAAGTGATACTCATCTTTATTTTCCGATGTGGGAACTCCAACACAATTATAGACATAATTCATGAAATGTAACTTGATTCATTCTTAACACATTAAAATATTGGTTGTCTTGACCACTCAATAACTCAGTCATCCATCAATAATTCACATATTAAACAAGAAGTCGTACATGGTTCTCTGTGCAAGTGTGCATGATTCTCGATAGCAACTGTGCTCTGGTGGTTTCATCTATGGATGATGGTGTAGACGAATGGATACAAAATGAGAAGATCGAAGGAGAGACTACATAATGACATATTTAGCAACCCTAGCCTGACCTCTTTTTCTATTACAAAAATTTCTTTCTTTAGTCCCAGATCAGCTAGGGGGGAGGTGTAGATTTTTCCGCAACTCCTCCCTAACACTTGCTTACCGTTTTTATTTCTTCATTTTCTTCTTCTTCCATGTTTAATAAACTCCAATATAATCATATCTCTTTGGATTGGTGGTATTTCTCAGATCAGGTTGTGTTTGTTAGAATATAAATAACAGTTCCTGGGCCACAAGCACAAGCTTGAGCGTTTAGTTGAATTGGTTCATTGACATGGTACCGAAGCCTCGTTGACTAAGAGGTCACAGGTTCAAAAATCAGCGCCACCTAGTTTAAAAAATTAAGGTTTCACGTGCAAGGCTCGAATAAAAAACTACGCCTGCACGTGAGGGGGCGTGTTAGAATATAAATAACTGTTCCTGGACCACAACCATAAGCTTGAGCTTTTAGTTGAATTGGTTCATTGACAGTGTTTCTCTCCACTTAAGCGGGTGCTTTCCTTGTATTGGTTTGGATCTGGTTTAGTTTCTCTCCGTAGTGACTTCTTGAAGTGCAAATCTAGTGGTTCTTTTATTGTCACTACTATGTCAATTGTCAATGTTGGTGAAACTTACATTCGAAATTGTGACTTCTTTATGCATCAACAATGAGTATATATAGTTGTAAATTGGTTATTGAGAGCGCACTCTATGATGATTTTTCATTCTTATGATATCCCACTTATTTAGAATCTATATATGGATACTTATTATAAGATCTATTTTATGGGCTTCAACTACCTTCAATTCAACAAAAGTTATGCTTTATGATTTCTATGTTATTTCATGCCAGAAGTCTCTGATCGATTTTAAATGTCGTTTTTCTTTGATATAATTTTCTTTACTTGTTATTTAAAAAAATGAGACACTACAGATCAACAATAGTAAAGGATGTCGACCTAGAGTTTAATTAAACCATATGTCCGACAATCACGAAGTTTGGATAGCTATACAGACTGAAATTCAGGAAATTTTAATTGTTATTTTGTTTGATTTTTTATTCTCTTTAATTAGGATTCGTACATTTCCTTTTGTTTAGATGGCAATGTGGCAACGGCTGACGATGTAAGTACGACGGATAACATATGGAGGTGTCGCCTTAGGTGGTAGTGTGTCGATGGTTATCGATGATATTGCCAATGATAGTGCCGTATTAACGCAAGATGATAGTTTGATTTTATATGGTAGTGTGGCAATGGTTGTACATGGCAATGCAATGAGCAATGGGTGAAAGTGTGACCTTAAATGGTAATGTGACAATGATTAATTTTTAGTTTAGTATGAAGGGGGGCAACTAGTTACAGTAGATTGGATATGATATGCATTTTTTTTGAAAATTTTTAATTATTTTTTAAATACTCCAAATGGAATTTGGTACTAAAATTTCAAACAAAGGGGCAAGGGAGTGTCTTATTATCAGAGTTTTTAGAAGCGGACTGGGAACCGAACCGGTCAAGGTATTGGTTCAGTGGTTCACTGGTCGGACTGGTGATTCAAGTGGTTGAACCAGTGGTTCACGCATATTTGAAAATTATACACACACACACACAAATAATATTTAATGAAATGATATTTCCTTTATCTATAAATAAAGAATTTATGATGTATTCCTACATTTATAAGAAATTTAATTTTTTGAGCAGTAGCATTAAATTGAAACAAATGCATATTTAAAAAAATAAAAAAATTAGAAAAGAAGAGGTGATATTTATTGTTTTATAATTTACACAATTTTTTAAAATTTGTTTTAAATAAGTTAATAGTTTTGTAATATGAAGTTTATATTGGAATCAATTGCTTCAATATTTTACAAACACACTTCTTCATTTATAAATAACTAAAAAAGTAATTTATAACATTTGACTAAAACTATATTAATATACTTGAGTTATTTTACTACGTTAAAAAATAAAATTTTGTATTTAAAAACAATATTAAGAATTTCATAAGTGTAGACTTAATTTTATTTTTTTCAAATAAGTTGTCTAATATTTAAAAACACTCCAATGAAATATTTTCATAATATGCATCTTGTAATACTATTAATTATATTTTTAAAAATAAAAAAATCTTTACATAATCTTTTTTTAATGATGAAATATTATAAAAGATTAAGTGAACTTGTAACAAAAATCATCATAGCTTAGATGGTAGGAATTTAACTATAAATGTCTAAAATATCTTAAGTTCTAACCCTCACGGTGTATGTTTTTGTGGAAAAAATGCAAAAAATCGCAAAAATAAATTGCCGGACCGGTTCGGCCGGCCGGTTCCCACCGGTTCAATGCAGGTAACGGTCCAACGGACCAAACCAGACCGGTTGGACCACCGGTTCGCCGGTTCATGATCCGACCTGGCCGGTCCGGTTTTTAAAACTATGCTTATTATTTTAACTCTTATTTAAGTTTTAAAAAATTCGTGTTCATATTTAGATTTTGGGGAATTTATATAAATAATACTATAATATATTGATTTTCTCAATGTAGTACCATATATTTTTATTTTCTAATGCAGATTTTTGTATCTACAGTCGCAGGACATGATGCCAAAAATCATGTTCATGGTGTTGGAGATCTCGCACGAAGCCTACCACAAATGCATGCAAGTAAGGCAAGACGTGCTAGCACCATCTCTATGTGGGACCCTCGAGATGATGAGATACGGAGGTTGAGAGAAGAGCTAGACGACATTAGAGCTTCCCAAGTGAGTGAACTATTGTCTATTAGAGAAGAGATTACCCGACTCTATGGAGGAGTTTTTCCACGTGGAAATGGAGATGACGGTGGAGATGAAGGGGGGTCGGCGTTTGCACGCACTTGTTGAATATTTTATTAGAATTGAAGAACATGATATTAAACAAAAGTTTGATGGTTATGTAAGTGGAGTTAGATTTGATTGTCAAGTTAAATTTTTATAAATATTATTTGAATTTTAATTCTAGTTTGGTAATTTGAATATTCTTGGTTGTTTGATATTCTTCATTTCTAATATTTGTTGTTGTTTGATGCTGTGGATTTTTGGGCTAGAGCAGGTTGCTACGGATGTTGTGTGAAATTGAAAAAATTGTAGCTTTCTGTATTCATGTTGTCAAATTGGCGACGGAATTTCATTTCTGTCGCTATATGGTCAAAATGAAGAAATGGTAGCTCAAACCGTCGTTAATCTTAACGACAGAAATTTTCCGTCGTTAATTCCGTCGCCTCGTTCCGTCGCGAATTCCGTCATAGCCTAGCGACGGATTCTATAATCCGTTGTTAAACTTATTACTAACGAAAAAATAACGACAAAATAAAAACCGTCGCTGTTTCCGTCGCTAGGCCAATTACCTACGGAAATCAGGCTTTGGCGACGGAATAATTCCGTCGCGATTTCAGCAGTTTTTTGTAGTAATTGTTCAAGTAAATGTCCACCGTCACTAGACATTGTTCAAACTAAATGTCCACCATCTCTGGACATTTTTCTTGTCACTAGACATTATTCAATTACTACTATTTTAAGAATAAAAAAGTTTAACACTGATGGATGCCTAATATTTTCCCTAGGACTGTTGATCGGCCCAGATCCAAATATTAGTATCCGGGCCCTATAATAGTGAGAAAATAATATGAAAAGAGTAACGGACTGTATATAAAGGCATTGCACACAAAATATGAGCTCAAACCGGAGATCCTTTCCTCTATTCGGTCCACTTTGAAATTGGAATATACTAAAGGACCACAAGAATATTCTTTTATCACTCAAGTCTCTTCTCTCGTTATTACAAGCCTAGTTAGTTAATATACGTATTATACTTACGTACGTATAATACGCGTATTATACTCACGTATCCGTATGATTTTCAAAAATACTTTAAAATACACGTATATTTGATACTATACGTATAATTACGTATAGTATGTAACACCCTAATCCGTCCAGGTTTACAACCCTTTCCGAACTAAAGTATTAACTTGGTAATCGTATAATTTAAAACATTTCAAATAACTTTATTCATCATAAATGAAATTTCAAACATAATTGTAGTAAATACGGAGTGTTTAATGCGGAAGCGATTTTTAAACAGGATTCATAATAACATAATCATTTATTTTCTCAATAAATCCACCACGACTGTCTCGCCCCTTCCGCTGCCAAGAACATGCCATTCACTCATTCTGTCTACCTGCGTGTAGCAAATAAAACATACTACACGCTCAGCGATGAAGCTGAGTAAGCATATCTAAAGCGTCGAACATCCAAATAAATTGAATCTCAATTCATAATCAACCATTTGATATCATGCACACAGTATATGATTCAAACATTCATGATATTCTCAATATTTTATTCCAAGTCATTTGATATTCAATATCTCAACCATGCTCTTAAATTATTCTTAATCTAAGGCCAATTCATTTTATAACAAGCTCTTAGCTATTCCTAGTCTAAGGCATCATTTCTAACCAGGCCCTTAAACTATAAATAGTTTAATGCAGAACACAAGAATCGATAATCCACCCTATGGGTCATGTGGATTACGTACCAACCGAACAATGATTTGTCGGGTGGGTGATATCCGGTCTGGATCCCGTACGTACGTTTTAACCCGAAATATGAATTGGTCAAGTAGGTATATCTTAGAGTTCTTCTAGATATCCTTAACAATCATCATCAATATACAAGTGGGTATATCTTAGAGTTCTTCTAGATATCCT